CTATAAATTGAAATTATTTCAGTTAATGTGACCTAAATTAGTTCTCACTTTTCCATTTAGCTGTTTGGGGATTTTTCTAAAAAATAGTGTTGCTGTTTGGCTTCAAATGACACACACACACATACACACCCAAGTAAATGGGTCTTGTTTAGGGAACGTAGTAGGAGTTTGTGAGGGATTACAAATAATTCCTCTAGCATGGAAGAAGGCAGCGCAGTTCTTCTGCAACCACTGTTCTAGCCTCCAGGCTGCAATAGCAACCTCAGCCCTTCTCCACGGCATATGTAAAGGTTCCCAGACACTGGATCCACGTAAGTATCAACTCAAAAGTCTCTTGCCCTTCTCCCTTCCAGCCTTGCATAGTTCCACTTCTGTCACCCTGCACAGAGTTGCCATGGGGGACTTGCACAAACTATCCCTACTGCAACGCTCTTGAGGATGAGAGAGATCCTGTTTTACTACATATGTGGAGGGGGGAATAGAGAGGCTCCTTAAATCCTCTTCTCTGTTCTTGCCTTCTGTACCAGCACAGGCCGGGAGAGATGCTTTAATTCAAATATTTAAATGACAGATTAGTTTAGGAGCAGAGATGCTATAGCAATGAGAGCTGTTTGGAAACAATAGACAAACAGACCAATTCTGGCCAATTACAATTTGAAAACTTACTCACAGCATATGTCCCAATGAATTTTATTTGCTGTTTATACCAGGAAAATCATGTTTAGAATTGGCAATCATTTAATAGCATTTGCTATTGAATGGGCCAATTTTTATTGATTTCATGCAAAGCAGTTTGGTCCTGAGAAAACCTTTCCCTATAATGTGAATGTTCCATTAAGCAAATTGACAGTAATTGGGATGGATTGTATTTTAAATTTCCAAAACTAGCATCCAAAAGTATGTAATCACTTGATAAACAGTCCTAGCTTTGGAGCTGGCCAGCTAGAGAATCAAAGAGTTGGGCACAGGGAAGAGTCATAACTTCACTTCTAGTTCATCCCTCACCAATGTGGGGTTGATCTCTGCAGCCTGTTTGATTTATGCTTTATCTAGTCCAGTTTTAAATAAAATGTGTAGATGATAAACCTGATCCAAAACCGACTGAAATCAGTGGGGTTTGAATCACATCCACTATGCATGCTTAAATATATCTATGTGACTTACGTTTTTATACCACTCCCCATCACCAGTGTATCCAAGCCCCTTATAATATTATAAATTTACAATATGCAGGTAGTAACATGGATCTTGTATGTGAATAATACTCACACCTGAAGGGACATAACTTATCAAGGTCCAGATTCTGACACTCTACTGAGTATCGTCTTACTCTGAAATCTACCGGCAGATAAAATATTACTTAACAGCGTGAGGGTGGCAGAGTATAGCCGTAAATAGTGAAACATCCTACACACAGGCACAGGGCTAAGTGTGGCTACACCTGCAATCACAATGTTTCTGAACAAATAGTGTTGTGTGGTCGGTCTTGCATGTGACCCTAAAAACTTTGTGCTCTTCTTATCTACCAGATGTGCAGCAACACAGCCTGGTGCATTAAGGAGGAACCATCAGCCTTCACTCTGAATGTTATATTACAACCTAACTCTTATTTCATTCTATAGTTAACATTTCCAGAGCGAGAGGATTTAGGGATGACTAACAAGAATTTTAGTTATAAGCTGGGGACGCATCGGTTGGAAGTAACGGAGGAGGAGAAGGACCTCGGAGTCCTGGTAGATCGCAGGATGACTATGAGTCGGCAATGTGACGTGGCCGTGAAAAAAGCTAATGCGGTCTTGGGATGCATTAGGCGAGGTATTTCTAGTAGGGATAAGGAGGTGCTGCTTCCGTTATACAAGGCACTGGTGAGACCTCATTTGGAGTACTGCAGTTTGGAGTGTGCAGTTCTGGTCTCCCATGTTTAAAAAGGATGAACTCAAACTGGAACGGGTACAGAGAAGGGCCACTAGGATGATCCGAGGAATGGAAAACCTGTCGTATGAAAGGAGACTCGAGGAGCTTGGTTTGTTTACCCTAACCAAAAGAAGGCTGAGGGGGGATATGATTGCTCTCTTTAAATATATCAAAGGGATAAATACCAGGGAGGGAGAGGATTTATTTCAGCTCAGTACTAATGTGGACACAAGAACAAATGGATATAAACTGGCCGTCGGGAAGTTTAGGCTTGAAATTAGATGACGGTTTCTAACCGTCAGAGGGGTGAAGTTCTGGAACAGCCTTCCGAGGGAAACAGTGGGGGCGAAAGACCTCTCTGGCTTTAAGATTAAGCTTGATAAGTTTATGGAGGGGATGGTTTGATGGGATAACGTGATTTTAGTCAATAGATCAATAACGTGCCATCGCAGGTAATTAGTATCAATGGTCAATGCGGGTCTGGCTGGAGAATCTTGCCCACATGCTCGGGGTTCTGCTGATCGCCATATTTGGGGTCGGGAAGGAATTTTCCTCTAGGATAGATTGGCAGAGGCCCTGGAGGTTTTTCGCCTTCCTCCGCAGCATGGGGCAGGGGTCACTTGCTGGACGATTCTCTGCGACTTGAAGTCTTTAAATCATGATTTGGGGACTTCAACAGCTGAGTCAAGGGAGAGAATTATTCCAGGAGTGGGTGGGTCAGCTTTTGTGGCCTGCATAATGCGGGAGGTCAGACTAGATGATCATAATGGTCCCTTCTGACCTTAAAGTCTATGAGTCTATGAGACACATGACAGTGACTTATTTGTGGAGTTCCCAGAGAAGGGAAACCACATAAGACATAAAGTTGCAGACTAAAGTAGATGGTGCATTGCCATCTCTTTCCAAGACAGTTGTTCAGACTATAGATAAAGGAGGAGCACAAATGCATTCTGTAGCTGCGGAGTTTAAATGTTTAGTGCAAAGGAATAGATGAGCTTAGAGAGGATGCCATTCCCCTAGATATTATCCTTAAGTCATTTATGTAATCTTCAAGAAAGATACATAATGCAGTAAATGTCACAAAATTACTAGCGCCCCATCAGCAAGACCAGACTCTTTCCATAGACAGGCAGATTGAGGTAATAATACATGCTCACTGTATAATAAGATACATGCATGCGTACACAGAGACTGACTACAAATTTACACTAACAGAGCACATTTCTCTATAATTATGTTTGTAAATGCTTATGTAAGAAAGTAAATTAATGGTCACAAATGTGTCTAGATATCTTTCCTATAAGGCTACTTGGTACAAGGCTATCTTCAAGTTACGGCAGCAACATTCTGGTTCCAAGCTCTACTGCAGCATTTCATGAAAAGCCCTGTTCCCTACGTGGCCTTTATCGTGCAAAGCTATTTGCATAAAAAATAACTGTCCAAACAGACAATGCTACAGAACTATCTTTAGAAGAGAACGACAACATTAGCACCAGGACAGGCACCATGGTGCTGCATCCTCATTTTCTTAATGCCTCTCCTGCTGGAAAACTTAACATGTGTCCGTGCAGAAAGGCACAAGGGAGATGAGAGATGCTATACATTTGCCATACATGGGGATACATTTTTTTGATTGGATTCCCACAGTGTGTTGACACTTTTTGTTAAGTTGCAGAGCTATTTGAAACTCATTCCCCCCCTCGTTCAATTAGAAAATGCACCCACGCAGCCATTGGCCCATGCTTTCTTTATAAAGCACTTCCCAAGAATCCTCTTTATTAGCCAACTCCAAGGCAGAGCTGGTTAGCATCTAGCTACTCAACAGAAACACTAAGAGAAGCGCCATGAAGGTTTAACATCAATTGCACTGCATTACATTCGATGAAGTGACTGGAAACAAACAACCCAATTTCAAAAATCCCCAAGCCAAACTATCTCCAGGCATAGGGGCCGGAACTAGGGATGTTGGGGGAAGAGGAGAGTGCTGCCACAATCCCTGGCTTGAAGTGGTTTCCATCATATCCAGGGTTTACAGTTCGGTTCAATGGCTCTCAGCGCCCCCACTATACACATTGTTCCAGCCCGCCTGTCTCCAGGGCTCCAAATCCACTGAATTATCTGTTTATTTCACGTTTGCCTTTCACATTAGATCCTTTTTCTACTCTTAACCTTCCAAGACACTTTATATGTATCATTGGAAGAAGAACCACTTTACACTACATATTTGGTCACCTTACATTCTTAATCACTTGAGCTTCTGTAATAATTATCAGACTTGTAGCTAAGCCAACAAGCCTGATAATTGCATAGGTGCACACTGATTACAACAAATACATTCACAAAATACTCTTCAGTTTATTACTTACAATAATTCTGTTCCATCAAGTTAGATAAACCATTCTAAAATAATAAATGATAATTTCAAATATAAATTAATGTGGCTAATTAAATTTGGTTTATTTTTGTCCTTTTAAAGTAAATCAGAATTTTGCATTGATTTTGTCTCAGATTCTGCCCCTTTCACATAATTCTTCTCAAGCTCAGTTTAATATACTTCTTGAATTTGAAATAAATGTTCTATTCATAATACAAGAATTTAGATTGTCATAAATTCTCATTTCAAATTGTCATAACATGTTCTGCTGCAGGCATTTGTCTGCAACTTTAATTACTGGACCAATGCCTGGATGAGACAGCGGGCATGTAGCTGCAGAAAAGCAAACTGAGGCATACGATTAATGAATCAAAGCAAAATTTCACCAAAATTCAAGGCATCCTTTTCTCAAAGCCAGGACAGATGTGTCTTTTCTCCCAACACGTCAAATGGTGCTGGGAGCCATAGAAAATGTACATTTAAAAACAATCCTAAAAGTAAACAAACAAAATGTATTATATAAACTTTAGGTCATTATCACTTTCTAAAGTTCATAACCATAGTTGCAAGAAGCAATGAAACAGTAAAAGTTAATGAAACTCCAGTGCCTGCTTGAAGCATAAGACAAACTCAGATAAAAGAGTGAGTCTGGCTCACATAGTATAAAACTTTAAATGTCTGTAGGTTTAAAACAAAATGAAAAAGTACCTACCTGCCTTTCAGATGAATCTGAGATGCTTTCCCCCTGGATTTATCCAAGACTGAGTAACCCTAACCCTACATTTACTTCAGAGCCTCTGAAACTCAGCCTGTGGCAACTCAGCATCTTGGTGAGGTTTTTGTACACCAATCCCCCTCACATGGTCTGATTTCCAGATAATCTGCTGCCAAAGAGCTCTTTAAGAATTTTTGCGTCACTTTTAGTCAAATAAACTTTATGTTTCACCAGGGCTGCAGCTCAATTTTCCTCCTGGAGGTGGGTGGCTACATTTGTATGTTCTGATCAGTTCAGGAGAGCAGGATCCAGCTAAGACAGGCAGGATGAAGGTGCGGGGAAGCTCACTGTTAAGGCATAATTTTCATGTCTCCAGTTACAGCTATAAATAAGGGGATGGTGGTGACAAGCAGACGACAAATAGGGTTAACGATCAGTGAATTAGAAGTGTGCAGATGGGTCTATACTATAAAAAGGTATGCAGGGCTGGGATCCTAGTTCTAGAATAAAGTGGAGAAAGGGGGGTTCTTAGGCTTCCTCCTTACTGATTACTTACATTATTTTAATGCAGAAATATAAATGAAGGGTGATTTTGTTATAAAATGTTAGGCACAAGTTCTTTGAAAAGTGTTTTTGCTACTTTAATCAAGACAAGACAAGACAGGACAAGTCAAGTCACTTCCTCTGTCCCTCTGTCCCTCCCACCCCTCAAAAAACCTCCAAAACAAAGGCTTTTTCTCCAAGGTACTTCAGTCCAGAGAAAGTACTTGTACAGTCTCAAACGTTACCATTTGTTTATAGAAGATGGAAAAGCATACATCAGAGAGCTAATGCCCCAGTTTGCATGCAGATTTGAAAAAGAAAGCAGAAAATCATAAGGGAAAAAAGAATAGCAAACTTTTAGAAGGAACAACAAAACAGCTGGTATAAGTGGCAGACAGTTTGCAAAGATCTGTTTTGAGTTGTTCAGTAATAACAGAAACTCTGACAACAAACAAGCCTAGGGCTATAATTATTGCTTCTCTTTCTCTGACTGCTGGTCCCCCTCTCCTTCACCCCAGCAGTGGCTATCAGCACCATCTCAAGGACAGTTGTGGTAATGCAACACTGTTAATAAGATATGTACCTAAACCCAAATCCTTCCTTTTTCCTGGTAATTCTTTGTGAACATCGTCTAAAAAAGTGTTTTATCAGTTTTTAAACTTGTTGCCTTCTAATTTCTCTACAGCTTTCTTGTTTTTCTATTACCGGCCAGAGTAAATAGCAACGTCTAGCTGGTTTCCTCTTTTACATCACTTTGTCATATCCCCCTCATATTCTTCTTTCCAAATTAATAGTCCTAGACATTCCCTGGAGAAACGGGAGAAAAGCAGGTTAGAGCCTGTCCGCATTTCCCATTCTGATCCCAGCACTCTATCCCATTCCCAAGAGTTTGAGAGGCTGAAGGTTCATTGTGCCTCACTCGGTAGATCTAAGCAGAATATTTGTATGTATAAGGGATCTGTTTGTAGACTTAAATCTAGCATTTCAGGGATGATTTTGTTCATTCCTTCACTCTCAACTGAATTCCCAGGTCTCTAATACCAGAATCCTGGAATGGATTTTCCAGGAACTCTGAGTCTACTCTCTCACAGAAAATAGGATCTTTCATCACAGTTTTTGGAGTTTTTTCCCCCTCACTTGTAGAAATATATAAGAATCTGCATGACGTGTCTTTTTAAAAGATTATTATTTGTTGCTGTATCTCCACTTTACTCTGCTGAGAGCAGGCTTTTGCCATGGTTTCTAACTGTTACTGAACACAGTTTGTCTCAGTCTACACTGGTAGTTACACTGCGTTCAGCTGCGCACACTGATGACACACAGTGTCAGCAACTGGTAATATATAGACAGAGCTTTAAAGTACACAGAGTGTATTGAGAACATATAAAGAGCTTTAACAATTACTTAGCTTGGCTTTTTTGTTCACGTATGGGTTTTGTCCTTAATGTCTTTCACTGCACTATATTTTATTTGTATTTTATTTGTTCTGTAAAGTACCTAAGACACTTTGTGGATACTGTATAAATAATAATAATTGTATCCCAAAAACTGATTATTATTAATTTATTCATGGACTTTTCTATATCACTATTCACTATTGTATCTGACCACTTCCCCAATATTAATGAATTTATTTTCACAACACCCCAGTGAAGTGAAAGGATGATATTATTCCTATTTTACAAAAGGACAACTGAGACACAAAAAGACTGAGGTCAAAAGGCTCAGCTAATTTTGGGTGCCTGATCTGAGATGACCTGGGTATGATTTATCAGAGTATTTAGCATTATGTAACAGTTGATGTGTTCAAAGCAGAGCGCCCGTTGATTTCAGTTGCAGCAGTGAGTTCAGCTGAGAGTGTAATGATCATCTGGTTTTACCCACATAGCTGCTGCTGGGGCATTTGATGCCCTGGATGAGGCACACCACATGTTGTGATAGGCATGTGTAGGCCCCGGGGATCTCGAAAGGTGTGTAATGGAGCGCACTGCTCATCGTAGCAGTAGAGATACAGCAGCAGGTTTTGCATCTGTTGATATTCTGTCAGTAAGAGTGCCCTGTAAGAGTGTCAGTAAGAGGTCTGCCCGGGTGCCCTTTTTTGTGTATCTTGGGACACATGTGGATGGTCCTTGGGGTGGGTTTGAAGTAAATTAAGCTAAACCGAATTAAGGCAACTTTAATTCTGAATGAGTGTCCACACAAGGGTTCAGGGCAGTTTAACTAATCCATTTTAAATTCACATATTTAATTAATTCAGATTAAATTTCCTGAGTGTTCCTGTGTAGACAAGCCCTTGGTCTCGCCGTCTACCCCCTAGTCTCCTTGTCCCCGTATATTCCCTCCACTGCCAGGGCCGGCTCTGGCTTTTTCGCCGCCCCAGGCGAAAAAGCCTCCGGCCGCCCCCCCCCCTCCCGCGGGGGGGGGGGGGG